ATCTCCCCAGCCCCTTATATTAAACTCTGGCCAGAAAAATTACTAGACATAACTGGAAGAAAATTGTGACAGTACAGCAAGCCCAGCTGCCTTAAATAAAAACACCAATTTTCCAAAACTCATAACCACAGTCACAGCTGGACATGGTGGTGCACCCCTGAAATCCCAGCACCCAGGAGGCTGAAGCAGGAGGATTGAGAGTTGGAAGCCTACCCAGGCTACGCAGCAAGCTTAAGGCCAGCATGGCCTACACTGTGAGACCTTATCTCAGAAAAACAAAACAAAACAAAAGTAACAACAATGAAAACCAAAGCAAAACCAATAAAAACAAAACAGAAGGGCCAGTGAAATAGCTCAGTGGACTGAGTGCCTGCTTAGGCAAGCACAGGAACTAGGGTTCGATCCCCTGTACCACATGCTACACTGGCCCCTAAGACTGGTGACTCATGCCTATAATCCTAGTACTGGGGAGGCTGAAAACAGGAGGATCAATATGAGTGAGACCTTGTACCAAGCACATAAAAAAGGAAAAAAAAAAAAAAACCCAGAGATACAGGATAACAGGATGGCAGCAGAGACTGGCTCTCTAATTTCCTGCTGATTATCTTGAAGCTCAGATCCTAAAGTTCAGGCTGGGAATTACTCCAGCCTGAACTTTAGGATCTGAGTTCAGGCTGGAGTAATTCCCAGCCTGAACTTTAGGATCTGAGCTTCAAGATCCTAAAGGGATCTTTAGGGAACTTTCTCTGAATTACTGTAATATTGAAAAAAGTGGAAACATCATCAGACTGGCAGAGGCTAATGGAAAGTAAAGGCTAGAGGTATAGTCCTCCAAATGTATTATCTGCTATGCATTGATTTATCACATGTGGTTGGAACTTAAAACAGATGTATTTCAATGGAGGAGACCATGGCATGGTGGTCAGGACACAGGAATGTGGCCCCAACTCAAAAACAGAGAACCAAAATTTGCAGCTGGTTCCAAAGCTTCCTTTTATCCCAGTTGAGTACAAAAGTGACTGCTTTGCCAACCTCTTTTCAAATTAACCGGGACTCAGTTTCTTAATCTGAAAGTTATTCAAACTTCTGGCTTTTGAAATGCAACTACTTCCATTTTCAGAAAGATGCAGGATTTTCTGAGTAATTTTTACTTAATATAAAATAAAATATTCTTGAAAATACAGCTCTGATATGTAAATATTGGCATTTCTACATTTCCATTTGCTAGATTCTCATCTGGAATTTAGACATCACATTTTTATAGCTGGAATTCAATAACATCTTTGTCTGCCATCTGCTTTCATTTAACTGAAGCTTTAAAAGTTAATTCCTTAAAGTCAAATTTAAGTACTGGAAATAACTTTATTTTAATGACGTATATCAAAGGAAATTTTTTCACACTGTTCTGAAACGAGTTACAGTTATGTAATCTCTACTTTCAAAACTTAAAAGTTATGACTAGACATAACATTCCTCATAATGAATGCTTTAGTTTTGGAATAATAATGGAAACAAAAGATATGCAATGTGGAATAAATTTGCAGTCATTTATCTCTTTCTGGAGGGAAATTATCCAGAAAATCATTAGTTGAGCAAAGATGCCCTTGTCAAAAGTGCTTGTGATTGACTTTTAATTTGATTTTGTAATATAAGTGATAGAATAAATGTTTAAAAGATAGTCAATTTAGACAGTGTCTGTCACGGGGGAACAACCCCAGACAATTGATTATGTAATAAAAACACGCACACTTGCACACATGCAAATGACAGTCAAGGACCAAGGAAAGTGCATGTGCTCAAAATTAAAGCCACTTTAAAAAAAAATGTATTTAGTACATGTTCTACAGGGTCTCATTACGTAGATTGGACTCGTAATAATCTTCCTGTTTTCAGCTTCCCAAGCACTGAGATTACAGGTGAGCACCACCACGCCCAGTCTCAATCTCAGTCTCAGTCCCTGTCTCAGTGTACCCTGGGGGTGGCGCCAGCGCGGCAAGCCAGGAATCGAACCCCGGCCGCCATGCTTTGCCTAAGCAGGTGCTTTAGTCCATTGAGCTATCTGGCCAGCCCTTAGAGCCACTGTTGACAGCCCAAGAAAGCATGGAAAGAACACTTCTCTTTCTACAAGGAGTTGTCTATAGGAAGCTATCCAGTAGCACTTAGTAAAAGCTACCTGAAGGTCTTGTGTATCTGTAAACTGCTACAACAGTTCATTTCTCTAACTTTGCTTGAGTGCTTGCTGTAATATCAGATGCTCTTCTAGGCAACAAGGGGAAAAAAGGTGGTGTAAAGGGTATCTATACCCTTTGCCTGCTTTTTCCCCTCTCTCCTACCATTTAAAAAGTATTGTGGGTCTTTAGTAAATTGCCTAGGTTGGCCTTGAACTTGTGACCCTCTTGTCTCAGCCTCCCTAGTAGCTAGGATTACAGGTGAGCACTATTGCTTTCTCATGGAGGTAAGTTTAGGTAAGGATCCACTGGTCTCAGTGTGATCCATTCTACCTGGGGAGAAACAATGGCAGGAATGAGGAAAAGATTGATAAGAAGAAAAGAGTTGGATTAGGTGGTGACTCATCTGCCTGATTGGCAAAAAGATCACCCCAGCCCAGCAACAATATGGATGTTTAATTATACCTTTGCAAAGTTATAAGGTTGCCTAGTGACTAATAACTGACATTAACCAGTCAGGATGCTTATCCCAGGACTGAGGTAGCTTGTTTGCTTTAGGCACTGAGGCCCAGTCCCACTTACACACATTTGACCAATGTTCCAGCTTCCATGGCTCCCAACAAATTTACATACAGTAAAATGCTCATGAGTTTTAACAAAAGTCTATACTCATGTGACCAATATTTCAGTAAGGATATAAGTCATTACATTACTTCATACTCTCCTCCAATCAATATCCCTTTTTGTATAGGTAACCTTTTTTGTTCTAATACCTATCACCATGGATTGATCTGCTCTTGAAAAGACACATAAATGGAATTATATCATATATATTTTAATGTGTTTTTAATTTTACTTATGTTTTGGAAGTTCATAGTGTTATACTAGTACTCATTCCATTTTATTACTGTGTTCATTCCTTTGTCTAAATATGCCATAATTCCTTTTAGTTCATAATCCCATTGATGCACATTTGAACTTGTTTCCAGTTTTGCGCTTTCAGAAATAAAGTTTCTAAAAAAAAAAAGAAAGAGAGAGAGAGAGAGAGAGAGAGAGAGAGAGAGAGAGAGAGGCTATTGACTTCCTTAATCATTTACTTTTTTCTGGTACTGGAGATCAAACTCAGGACCTCATGCTTACCAGGCAGGCCTTTATGCCACTGGGCTATCTCCCCACCCTGGTCATGTCTTTTTGTGAATATGTATTTTGCTTTTCATGAGTTAATAGGAGTAGAACTACTGTCATCAGGTTGGTTTGTAATTTGATAAAAGTTTTGACTTCTAAAGTGGATGTATCATTTTAAACTTGAACCAGGGACTGGTGACATGGCTCAGTGGTCTAAAGCACCTACTTAGAACAAGCTAAGCGAAGCACAGGGAAGGCGGTTCAATCCCCCAGCACCACATGCCAGCCAGCCCCGCCCCCTGGTGGGCTGAGCTGGCCACACACACACACACACACACACACACACTAAACTTGAACCAGTAGTATATGAGAGTTCCACTTGCACCATACCCTCATTGATTTTTTTTTTTTTTTTCAGAACCAGAAATTGTACTGAGGCCCTTATACTTGCCAGGAAAGCACTTATTCTACTGAGCTTTCTCCCCGACCCTCATTGATAGTTGATGTTGGTATTTTATTTAGTTTTAGCCATTTCAGTGATGTAAAGTGCAAATGTTACTAAGCCACTTTTCAAGCACTTATTGGCCACTTGTATGTCTTCTGTGAAGTGTCTGAATTTTTTTTTCTTGTGTTTAAATTGCGTTGTCCTTTCATTTTTTATTTGTAGGAGTCCTTTATACTAGATATAAATATGTTAGGATATAAATTCTTTATCATATATAGGTATTACAATTTTTTCCAGTTACGGTGGTACCCATCCATAATCCCATTTGATTGGAAGATTAAAGATCAGAAATTTGAGGCCAGACTGGGTCACTTATTAAGACATTGTCTCCAAATAAATTTTTTTAAAAAGCTAAGATAGAACTCAGCGGTAGAACACTTGGTCAGGATGCACATGGCTCTAGGCTCAGTGCTCAGAACTACAAAAAAATTTTGTTTTCATAATTTATACTTAAAACCATATAACAAAGCTTTAATGATAAGCAAGGCAAACAACTAAAACATTAAAGATTTGTTGATATATGCTTAAACTGGAATGCAAATTAACTTCAATAATAATAACCATAGAGGGGCTGGGGAGATGGCTCAGTAGAATAAGCGCTTGCCTGGCAAGCACAAGGCCTGAGTTCAGTCCCTGGTTCCACCAAAAAAACAAAATAAATAATAATGACCATAGATAAAACCCTATATTGCAATAACTCAGAAAATAAGTAATTCCTACTCATTAAATTCTGTAATAGGGGACCAGGGAAATAGCTCAGTAGAATAAGTGCTTGCCTGGCAAGCGCAAGGGCCTGAGTTCAATCCCTGGTTCCACAAAAATAAATAA